TAGCCAGACTTGTAGCAGCCACAGTTAACAGTTAGCAGAGCTAGCGCTATAGCCAGAAAGGCCTGTGCAGCAGCATCAGTTAGCAGAGCTAGTGCTAGCCAGAAAGGCCTGTGCTGCAGCATCAGTTAGCAGAGCTAGCGCCAGCCAGAAAGGCCTACGTACTAGCCACAGTTAGCAGAGATAGTGCCAAATCCAGTTCTGCAGGCCTGCAGACACAGTTAGTAGAGCTAGCACTAGCCAAATTAGCCAGATAGGCTAACACTGTTCATGCTGCAGGAGAGCACAACACAACACTGGATCAAAATAGAACGCTGCTGTTGGTCTGATTACCTCGTTATGAGGATTTCCCACTTGATGCGTCCTCCTGTCCCCGCCTCCCCTCCTCCCAGCCTCTCTCCCCCTCTTCCCTCCCCTCCCCCCCTTATCCCTGCCTCAGCTTACCCAGGTGGCTGGGCTGTTGCATAACCATGCAAGGCCAGGATGGGAAGCCCTCAGGGCCATATGGCTCTCATCCACCTCAGCACTTCACTAACAGTCCATTGGCCTAGAATAGTGGATTTACATTTACACCGCAAGCAACAGTGCCCAAACCTGATACACCATGTTACTTGTATTGACACTTGTGTTGTCTAGCTATGGCTACTAGGCTACAGGCCCAAATGACATTGACCCCTGTCTGTATATGTTCACTTCAGCAGCTTGCTACAATGTATGTGGATCATTAAAATGAATACAATAATCATGTCTTACTTTTTTTAAAGAGGTTTTTAAAAATCAGTGTTGTAGACAAATAACAGTGATATAGACAACGCCATTACTTTGAAATATAATATACATTGAAGAATCTGAATTATTAATATTCAATGAATTGAGAAAATATGATTTATGTTGCAGGTACACAAAAGGAGAGCTGGACATTGCCTACATCACATCACGAATCATAGGTAAGCACACATTACTGTCGACTCATACTGTAGCTTCATGATCAACTTTATGAAATGGAATGAATGGGTGCGTGTGTGTGTGTGTGTGTGAATTCCATCAACCGTGTTGATTTACTGCATGGCTGCCTGCAGTGTTAGGCTGCTCCATTCATGAAGCATACCAGAGTCTAGTGTTCTTCTAACTGGGAGTGGCTTTTCTCTTTAGCTAAAAGGCCGTCCGTCGCTCTCTAACGGTAGTTTCATTTTATCATTATGGAGGTAGTAAGTCTGTATTTGGGCTTCACTGGTTTCTTCTCCACATAACATTTAGACTTCTGGGTATCTCAGTCTCTAGCCTCCTGTGAACTTTGCCTCACTCCCTCCCTACACAACATATCCTGTACATCTACAGGTGACAGAGGGAGGGATTTCAAGGAGAGAGGGTTTGCTCTTGGTTTTGGGGCATAGGAGAGGTTTGGGGGGTTGGTTGGGTGTGGGGGTAGGGTGATATTAATGACACACTAAAGTATGTGGACACCTGCTCGTTGAACATCTCATTCCAAAATCATGGGCATTAATATGGAGTTGGTCCTGCCTTTGCTGCTACAACAGCCTCCACTCTTCTGGGAAGGCTTTCCACTAGATGTTGGAACATTTCTGCAGGGACTTGCTTCCATTCAGCCACAAGAGCATTAGATGGAAAGCTTATCTGATTGGGGATCATACTTAGGCAGCCAGTTTTCCTGCCTGTGTTGTGGGATCTTGTGTTCCTGTTTAGGCTTGTGTGTTAGCCCTTTGGACCGTCACGGTTAAGTTTGTTATTTTGGTTACGGTGTCGTGTGTTTATTAGTTAAATAAACATGTACGCCTTTCACGCTGCACCTTGGTCCGACCCTTCTCTTAACGTACGTGACAGGCTGAAATAGCCAAATCCACTAATTTGAAGGGGTGTCCACATACTTTTGGCCATATAGGGTATATGCTGAAACGTACAATCACATACGCACACACACACGCATACACATACACGCACGCGCGCACACACACACCCTGTCAGTGTTGTGAGGCTGCATGTAACAGCAGTCTGTCCTCCAGATGTTGAGGACACAGTCACTCAAATGAAATGAAATGAAATTTTATTTGTCACATGCTTCGTAAACAACAGGTGTAGACTAACAGTGAAATGCTTAGTTATGGACCCCTCCCAACAATGCATAGAGAAAGAAATTGAAATAATATCTTGAAATAATTGAAATAATATCCTCTGTAGCTCAGCTGGTAGAGCACGGCGCTTATAACGCCAAGGTAGTGGGTTCGATCCCCGGGACCACCCATACACAAAAAATGTATGCACGCATGACTGTAAGTCGCTTTGGATAAAAGCGTCTGCTAAATGGCATATTATTATTATTTTAATATAAAAATAATAACACAAGGAATAAATAAAGGATCATTTGGCTATTTACACTGGGTACCAGTACCGGGTCCTCGTGCAGGGGTACGAGGTAATTGAGGTAGATATGTACATATAGGTAGGGGTAAAGTAACTAGGCAACATGATAAATAATTAACAGTAGTAGCTGTGTATGTGATGAGTCAAAAGAGTTAGTGCAAAAAGGGTCAATGCAGATAGTCCGGGTAGCTATTGGTTAACTATTTAACTAACTATTTAGCAGTCTTATGGCTTGGGTGTAGAAGCAGTTCAGGCTCCTGTTGGTTCCAGACTTGGTGTATCGATACCGCTTGCCGTGCGTTACCAGAGAGAACAGTCTATGACTAGGGTGTCTGGAGTCTTTGACAAAGCCTCTGACACCTGAGGGCCCCTACCTCATAATGCAATCCTTTGATCCCTCCTCTTACTGAACACTCATTATGGGTGCGTTCGTAAATTCACTCTGGAGTGTCAGAATGCGCTCTGGCCCTTTCGTAAATTCAGAGATCTATTTTTTATGGGCCTAATAAAAACGTAATATGAATGACCATTTAATGTGGCATGAACAGTCATGATGCTTTCATCTGATTGTCAAACAAATCCCTTCAAAAATTAGGCTACCTGTGCATGTTCGTCCACACCAAATAATCCAAACAGTGCAATGAATGTACACTCGCGCCATTTGATGAATGGAAATAGACATCTGTTCACAAAACATCAAAAAGTGTTCCTAATGACATTCAGCGATTGCCATAGATTAGGCCTACATTAATTGATGAGTCTTGCTGACAAATTGTCCTTTTTTGTAGCCTGAAAAGTCGAGACACTTGAAATGGGGCTGAAGATGTCCTGAGTAAAACGGGAGTGTCACCCTAACACACACAGTAAATATACTAGGCTAGGCTACAATGTGTAGGCCTATTGCCATAAACTTCAAATAGGCCTACCGGCAGCCAGTGATGCAGTGGTAAAAACATTGGTGGGTAAACTCTGATTGCTCAATGTGCTTTCAATAAAACATTTTGAAAAAGATGCGTTTAGTTGTTTACCCTCCACTAGGCCTATACCACCGCCAGTAGTCTACCCTCTCAGCCGAGGAAATTTTACACACATGAACACACGCAGAACAGGTAGCCTACATTCAATATAATACATGAGTTGAATCAGAACATGTTTTACACCCTAGTTCATGAGTTGTCCATAATTCATGAGTTAACGCTTGGAGTCTTCTCAGATCATGTGACATAAAACACTACCTTTCTTTCCTTACATTAATGACATTTATGACAGTGTTATTTGTAATTATTATGCATTTAACAATTGAATTAGAACATTGAACTTAAACCCTGTAAGATTCCTGGATCTTGGATATTTCGGAAAATGCACTGTAAATGTAACTATGCCTACATAACATTTCATTGTGTTCCACTGTGAAAACAGGTCTCATGGGCACACATATCAAAAATTATGTAGGCCTATGCCATTGCAAAATGGAATACTTCTAACTGAAAGAGTCAACTATAGGCCCACTGTCATTAACGTTGGATGGATTGGATGCACATTGGTGTCTAGCTGTAGGTTAGTTGTCTAGTGACATTGGTGACCAACATCCGCTGATCCAGGAAAGAAAACAAATATTGATAGAAAATAATAAAGCTAAATGAATGGTCTACTACTTCTGGCCACGGATGGCACAGAGAACAACAGTACCCACGCGCACCTAAAAAACTAAGCAATGAGCCTCTAAACAGCTGACTGACAAAAGCAAACAATGATAAATCAACGAATACATTTAATGCATTGGAATAAAGGTTATTTTTATCAAGGACGCTGGGCAAAGAAATGGCAAAGGAAAATACAAAGGAAGGGCGGCAGGTAGCTTAGTGGTTAAGAGCGTTGTGCCAGTAACCGAAAGGTCGCTGGTTCTAATCCCTAAAAATCTGTCGATGTGCCCTTGAGCAAGGCCCTTAACCCTAATTGCTCCTGTAAGTCGCTCTGGATAAGAGTGTCTGCTACATGACTAACATATTTAAATTTTTTAAAGATCTATGTGTTTAAATGAGCTCAGCTGAGGCCTAATTTACTGAGTGGACAGTGCTGTGGACAGGGAGACGGTTTGTGCAGCCGCGTAAAAATAAATGGTTTAAACCATGACAGAGAGCTTTTATTTACATATTTACCACAGCATTTTAAACAAATAGGAGAATGGTTAAATTAGCATTATTTTGAGCCCCCCCCCCAAAGTTGGGCTTTTGTTGCATTTATGGGAGCTAACATCTCATTCAGGGGAGCTGAGCCCCCCCTGGCTGCCCCGTCATTCACATCCTGCCTGTGGTTAACATTACTTTCAACCCACTTTTAACCAGATGAATATAACTATAACTACATAAATTACACACAGTACAAGACTCTCATCTTTTAAATTATTAGTATGATTCCCTGCCTGGTTTGTGTTTGTAAACCCCTATGGCCACAGGTCCATAACCCTGAAGGGGTTTTCCATACTGCACAATACAGATGGAATGAAAGTGGAACCCAATGACAGTGTGTAATAATAGTACTGGACTGTATATCCTGGCATGCCTCATCATCAACTCTATGGTCATTGGGATTAAACATGTCTCCTTCTCTGTTCCCTGCCAGTAATGTCATATCCTGCGGAGGCGTTGCAGATCGGCAACCAGAACCATGTGGAGGACATCCGCTCCTTCCTGGACTCACGGCACGCTGACCACTACACCGTCTTCAACCTGTCACAGCGCAACTACCGCGGCGCCAAGTTCTCCAACCGGGTGAGACAAATATACACAGAGTATACCAAACATTAGGAACACCTTGCTAAAATTCAGTCCCCCCCCGGCGCACCGGTTTGTGTCAAGAACTGCAACGCTGCTGGGTTTTTCACGCTCAACAGTTTCCCATGTGTACCACCCAAAGGACATCCATATAACTTGACACAACTGTGGGAAGCATGGACTCTACAAGGTGTCGAATAGGGATGCTGGCCCATGTTGACTCCAATGCTTCCCACAGTTGTGTCAAGTTGTATGGATGTCCTTTGGGTGGTGGACCATTCTTGATACACATGGGAAACTGTTGAGTGTGAGAAACCCAGCAGCGTTGCAGTTCTTGACATTAATCGGTGCGCCAGGCACCTACTTCCCTGTTCAAAGGCACTTAAAATCTTTTGTCTTAACCATTCACTCTCTGAATGGCACACATACACAATGCATGTCTCAATTGTCTCAAGGCTTCTCAATCCTTCTTTAACCTGTCTCCTCCCCTTCATGTACACTGATTGAAGTGGATTTTACAAGTGACATCAATAAGGGATCATAGCTTTCACCTGGATGCACCTGGTCCATCTATGTCATGGAAAGAGCAGGTGTTCTTAATGTTTTGTATAATCAGTATATATATACAGTACCAGTCAAAAGTTTGGACACAACTACTCATTCAAGGGTTTTTCTTTATTTTTACTATTTTTTTACATTGTAGAATAATAGTGAAGACATCAAAACTATGAAATAACACATATGGAATCATGTAGTAACCAAATAAGTGTTAAACAAATCAACATATATTTTATATTTGAGATTCTTCAAATACAGTGGGGAAAAAAAGTATTTAGTCAGCCACCAATTGTGCAAGTTCTCCCACTTAAAAAGATGAGAGAGGCCTGTAATTTTCATCATAGGTACACGTCAACTATGACAGACAAAACGAGGAAAAAAAATCCAGAAAATCACATTGTAGGATTTTTTATGAATTTATTTGCAAATTATGGTGGAAAATAAGTATTTGGTCAATAACAAAAGTTTCTCAATACTTTGTTATATACCCTTTGTTGGCAATGACACAGGTCAAACGTTTTCTGTAAGTCTTCACAAAGTTTTCACACACTGTTGCTGGTATTTTGGCTCATTCCTCCATGCAGATCTCCTCTAGAGCAGTGATGTTTTGGGGCTGTCGCTGGGCAACACAGACTTTCAACTCCCTCCAAAGATTTTCTATGGGGTTGAGATCTGGAGACTGGCTAGGCCACTCCAGGACCTTGAAATGCTTCTTACGAAGCCACTCCTTCGTTGCCCGGGCAGTGTGTTTGGGATCATTGTCATGCTGAAAGACCCAGCCACGTTTCATCTTCAATGCCCTTGCTGATGGAAGGAGGTTTTCACTCAAAATCTCACGATACATGGCCCCATTCATTCTTTCCTTTACACGGATCAGTCGTCCTGGTCCCTTTGCAGAAAAACAGCCCCAAAGCATGATGTTTCCACCCCCATGCTTCACAGTAGGTATGGTGTTCTTTGGATGCAACTCAGCATTCTTTGTCCTCCAAACACGACGAGTTGAGTTTTTACCAAAAAGTTATATTTTGGTTTCATCTGACCATATGACATTCTCCCAATCCTCTTCTGGATCATCCAAATGCACTCTATCAAACTTCAGACGGGCCTGGACATGTACTGGCTTAAGCAGGGGGACACGTCTGGCACTGTCTTTTATACTGATAACAAGTTCAAACAGGTGCCATTAATACAGGTAACGAGTGGAGGACAGAGGAGCCTCTTAAAGAAGAAGTTACAGGTCTGTGAGAGCCAGAAATCTTGCTTGTTTGTAGGTGACCAAATACTTATTTTCCACCATAATTTGCAAATAAATTCATAAAAAATCCTACAATGTGATTTTCTGGATTATTTTTCCTCAATTTGTCTGTCATAGTTGACGTGTACCTATAATGTAAATTACAGGCCTCTCTCATCTTTTTAAGTGGGAGAACTTGCACAATTGGTGGCTGACTAAATACTTTTTTCCCCCACTGTAGCTACCCTTTGCCTTGATGACAGCTTTGCACAATTTTTTTTTGCTGGTCTCTGGGGAGATAAATCTAGCTAGCTAAGTCAGCCATTGACTAGGCTATCAATAGCTAGATAAAGGCATATGCCATTCAACTGTATTAGGGCAGTGGAATCAACCAATCACATTTTGACTTAATGGGTGCGACAGTTTTTACACAAACTTATGGAAACTTCTGCCTTCTTGAAGGCCAACAGGTCACTGCTCAGTAAGGAGCAGTAGTTTTCCCACGGTCTAGCTAGCTAGCTTTTGTTGTCAGATAGTTTGCAGTGGCTGCAGCAAGTGTTATCAAAGAGGATGTTGTTGCTAATTTGTTAGCTTCTCCCTTTTCAAGAATAACTTTCAACAAGAAGTTAAGTTTCAAATGATCATCATCTGGTGTGTGGAGCTGTGTTTTTTATTGCAGTGCGCTTGCTGTTGTTAGCCATCTCTTTGAAAATAACTTGTGTGTGAAACATTGTTGCATTTAAAGTGGAACTGAAAGCATTTTAGCAACATTAAATCTTATTAAAATCTGTTCATATACACCCCCAGGAAGAATATTACACTTTTTAAAACATTTTCTGACAAGGGACCACTAAGATTTCATTTTCACATTTTCATAAATTCTTAGAACGTCTGGGAATGATGTATACTATGGCATTTGTGAAAATTCTATAGTAATATAGAGTGGGAACGCGGTCGTGCGTTTGGACAATTAATAGACACTGCAAGAAATAAAACCGAATAAAAACATCTGTCTTATCCAGGACTGGAGTCTACACAGACCGGTGCACTATAGCCAATCAGAGCTACAGTAGACCTTTATAAAAACAAGCCATTTGCGACATTCACTTTGAACTTGACTGTGTGTTTACAGGCAGTTGCAACAGCACGACTTTAGATAATTAGAATGCATTTGCCAAAAGCCACAAAATACACCTGAATGGATTTCTGCAAAAACAGTGCATTCGGAAAGTATTCAGACCCCTTCACTTTTTCCACATTTTGTTACGTTACAGCCTTACTATAAAATTCATTAAATTTTTATATTTCCTCATCAATCTACACACAATAACCCATAATGACAAAGCAAAAACAGGTTTTTATAAATTTTTGCTAATTTATCATTTAAAAAAACCCTGAAATATCACATTTACTCAGTACTTTGTTGAAGCACCTTTGCAGCGACTACAGCCTCAAGTCTTCTTGGGTATGACGCTACAAGCTTGGAACACCTGTATTTGGGGAGTTTCTCCCATTCTTCTCTGCAGATCCTCTCAAGCTCTGTCAGGTTGGAGTGTTCCTGCACAGCTATTTTCAGGTCTCTCCAGAGATGTTTGATCTGGTTCAAGTCCAGGCTCTGGCTGTGCCACTCAAGGACATTCAGAGACTTGTCCCGAAGCCACTGCTGCGTTGTCTTGGCCGTGTGTTTAGGGTCGTTGTCCTGTTGAAAGGTGAACCTTCACCCCAGTTTGAGGTCCTGAGCGCTCTGGAGCAGGTTTTCATCAAGGATCTCTCTGTACTTTGCTCCGTTCATCTTTGCCTCGATCCTGACTAGTCTCCCAGTCCCTGCCGCTGAAAAACATCCCCACAGCATGATGCTGCCACCACGCTTCACCGTAGCGATGGTGCCAGGTTTCATCAGACCAGAGAATCTTGTTTCTCATGGTCTGAGAGTCTTTAGGTGCCTTTTGGCAAACTCCAAGCAGGCTGTCATGTTCCTTTTACTGAGGAGTGGCTCCCGTCTGGCCACTCTACCATAAAGGCCTGATTGGTGGAGTGCTGCAGAGATGGTTGTCCTTCTGGAAAGTTCTCCCATCTCCACAGAGGAACTCTGGAGCGCTGTCAGAGTGACCGTCGGGTTCTTGGTCACCTCCCTGACCAAGGCCCTTCTCCCCCGATTGTTCAGTTTGGCAAGGCGGCCTGCTCTATGAAGAGTCTTGGTGGTTCCAAACTTCTTTCATTTAAGAATGATTGAGGGCACTCTGTTCTTGGGGACGTCAATGCTGCAAAAATGTCAGTCAAGGGGTCTGAATACTTGAGATATATATATATATATATATATATATATATATATATATATATATATATATATATATATATATATATATTGGTACACTGTAATGCTAAAACACACAGTACAAACATGTATGCAATGTTTTATAATACATTATAACACATTACCCATAGGCACTCAGCTTTGTGTTTCTTGTCAAACATGTTACATAATGTTATTGACATAGTATACCCACTGGAAACTGTGAAAGTGGATAGGACAATGCATAGAACTAGATCAGGATGAAAGACTGAACTTGGAAAGTAAGACTTGGCTCAGTTTGTTTCACAGTGAGGCAGAAATGAGTTGAGTCCTGAAGTAAAGAGTCTATATAGGACACCAGTTACTACTACTGTAGATCAGGGGCCGTATCCACAAAGCTTCTCAGAGTAGAGTGCTGAGAATAGAGACATTTTACTCCTTCTCTTACAGGTCAAAATAAAAGCTATGCATAAGAGTCCTACCTAGTCGACATATATATAGGAGAACTCGTGAGCTGTCCTAACTAGTTAAGAGTTACCAGCAGATGTCTTGATAATAGAAAAAGGTAGCAAGTCAGTGATTCCTGCACCATAGACAGACAAAGTGCTTAATTTGAGCCGGATCCGGCACCTCTCAGATTTGACTTTGTTTGTTACGGCTCCTATTCACCCAGATCCGGTAACTCTCGCGGCATGATTTATTAATTATTTCACTGTTCGCACTGTAAACATTCTAATAAAAGCGATCAGCATTAAATCAAGTTGCCTCGTTATTTCTCCCGCCCCCCAGAAAGACCATCATGTAAAAGCGCGGTGATCCTTCTATGTAATCATCCTATCCTGCCACACTGATTCCAGACCTGCTCTCTTATTTGAAGTACTACAGGCAATTGCTTTGGAGTTGTTTACATTTTTGGTGTTGATATTTCTGTATAATCAACCCATAAGTAATCTAGACCTACATGCAACAGTAGCTCTTGCGCTTTTGACAATGATTTCACGAGGCCTAATTCACATGATATGCCTAAATACAGTGGGGGAAAAAAGTATTTAGTCAGCCACCAATTGTGCAAGTTCTCCCACTTAAAAATATGAGAGAGGCCTGTAATTTTCATCATAGGTACACGTCAACTATGACAGACAAAATGAGAAAAAAAAATCCAGAAAATCACATTGTAGGATTTTTAATGAATTTATTTGCAAATTATGGTGGAAAATAAGTATTTGGTCACCTACAAACAAGCAAGATTTCTGGCTCTCACAGACCTGTAACTTCTTCTTTAAGAGGCTCCTCTGTCCTCCACTCGTTACCTGTATTAATGGCACCTGTTTGAACTTGTTATCAGTATAAAAGACACCTGTCCACAACCTCAAACAGTCACACTCCAAACTCCACTATGGCCAAGACCAAAGAGCTGTCAAAGGACACCAGAAACAAAATTGTAGACCTGCACCAGGCTGGGAAGACTGAATCTGCAATAGGTAAGCAGCTTGGTTTGAAGAAATCAACTGTGGGAGCAATTATTAGGAAATGGAAGACATACAAGACCACTGATAATCTCCCTCGATCTGGGGCTCCACGCAAGATCTCACCCCGTGGGGTCAAAATGATCACAAGAACGGTGAGCAAAAATCCCAGAACCACACGGGGGGACCTAGTGAATGACCTGCAGAGAGCTGGGACCAACAAAGCCTACCATCAGTAACACACTACGCCGCCAGGGACTCAAATCCTGCAGTGCCAGACGTTTCCCCCTGCTTAAGCCAGTACATGTCCAGGCCCGTCTGAAGTTTGCTAGAGTGCATTTGTATGATCCAGAAGAGGATTGGGAGAATGTCATATGGTCAGATGAAACCAAAATAGAACTTTTTGGTAAAAACTCAACTCGTCGTGTTTGGAGGACAAAGAATGCTGAGTTGCATCCAAAGAACACCATACCTACTGTGAAGCATGGGGGTGGAAACATCATGCTTTGGGGCTGTTTTTCTGCAAAGGGACCAGGAAGACTGATCCGTGTAAAGGAAAGAATGAATGGGGCCATGTATCGTGAGATTTTGAGTGAAAACCTCCTTCCATCAGCAAGGGCATTGAAGATGAAATGTGGCTGGGTCTTTCAGCATGACAATGATCCCAAACACACGGCCCGGGCAACGAAGGAGTGGCTTCGTAAGAAGCATTTCAAGGTCCTGGAGTGGCCTAGCCAGTCTCCAGATCTCAACCCCATAGAAAATCTTTGGAGGGAGTTGAAAGTCTGTGTTGCCCAGCGACAGCCCCAAAACATCACTGCTCTAGAGGAGATCTGCATGGAGGAATGGGCCAAAATACCAGCAACAGTGTGTGAAAACCTTGTGAAGACCTACAGAAAACGTTTGACCTGTGTCATTGCCAACAAAGGGTATATAACAAAGTATTGAGAAACTTTTGTAATTGACCAAATACTTATTTTCCACCATAATTTGCAAATAAATTCATAAAAATCCTACAATGTGATTTTCCTCATTTTGTCTGTCATAGTTGACGTGTACCTATGACGAAAATTACAGGCCTCTCTCATCTTTTTAAGTGGGAGAACTTGTACAATTGGTGGCTGACTAAATACTTTTTTTCCCCACTGTACTTACAGGCCTAACCACTACGTTAATAAATAATCATATATTTTTCTTTCGATTATTTAATTATCATATTATTTCAAGTTATCCCTTTGGAGTGCAATATCACATTGTTAAAAATGTATGTGAACTTTGATTGTGTTCGGTGAAAATGATAGACCTTTAAAACATTTTATGCAACATTATCGGCAAGTGACTTGATGCCTACTGTGCCAAAGCGATTTACTATAATATTATCAAAATTCTAGTTCTACCAACCATCCTGATTCAATATATCTATCACATTATTCAAAATGTCAGAATTTGTCTTGCCTACTTTTGACATTTAAGAGTAGGCAAAGTGATCGTGTCAGGCGAAAAATTATATCAAACGTTTTATCATTACAACATTTGATGTACGGTCACATTCACTGTGGTTGTCTGTCGATGCCTCATCGCGATTGGTTATTCCCCATAATTTGCAACAATGGCAATGAGTGTTTTTTTTATATCTTTCCTTTGAGTTGCCTCAAACTGTTGTGATTACCAGCTGAGATAAACTTTTATGAGTTGATTTGACTTCTGGCTCAGTTTGTCTGGACATCATCCTAAAACCTACTCTGAGCTGGGAGTTTTTTGTTGTTGTTGTCTTAAAACAGGTTTTAACAGGATTCCTAGCACCTTTTCTGAGATGCTTTGTGGATATGGGCCCTGGTCCCATACTTTTCAATGACTAGACGTTATGTTTGGATTCAATCTGGCTAGATGCTCCATCCAGTGTATAGGTCAACGAGGCACAGCCTTCTACCATCATCACCCCTCTCTCATTATGTAGGCACGCACACACTCACATGCACACACACACACACACACACACACACACACACACACACACACACACACACACACACACACACACACACACACACACACACACACACACACACACACACATACACACACACACAAAGAGACAAAAAAAACTCCCAGCTCAGAGTAGGTTTTAGGATGATGTTAAAGGTCAAATACTGCTGTTTTTATCTCAATATCAAATAATCTCTGGGTAACAATTAAGTACCTTACTGTGATTGTTTTAAATTAAAATGGTCCAAAAATAAACAAAAATAGCTTCTTAGCAAAGGGCAATTTCTCAAGCAATAATTTAGCTATGACTGTCTGGGAGTGGTCTGAGTGGGGAGGGGAAAACTGAAAATTAACTTATTGGCAGAGAGGTTTGGAACTCTCTTTGTTATTGGTCTATTAACTAATTTACCACATGGTGATATCACCATGGAAGGCCAAAACTCCATCCCACCAAGGGAGGACATTTCAGGTGGTCTTTTCAAACAACTCTTACACTAAAAGGGCATTATCAGCATTTTCACAATTTCACAGTATTTTTCCATCCTCATAGTGTGGAAATATATATAAAACACATGAAAATCAAGTTTTTGACTTCAGTGGGCCTTTAAGACACTTCCTAGACAAACTCTTGAGTTTTTCTCTGCTGGTAATCTTGACATTTTGAGGTACTGCAAAGGAAAGATCGTGATGACACTCATTAACATTGTTGCAAATGATGAGGAATAACCAATCGCGATAAGGCATTGCCAGCTGTGAACTCTATAGCATGCTTCAGACAACCACAGTGAATGTGACTGTACATCAAATGTTCATCACTTCGACTACACCATCACTTCGACTACTCTTAATTATCGCCTAATATGTTGGCATGCATAATCTTTTATTAACCAATTCTGATGATTGTTAAAAGGAATTTTGGACAACTGAATTTTGACAATATTCCCATTATTAACACACTCGTCACTCCTGTTTAACAACTCTAAATCGCTTTGGCACAGTACATCAAGTCACTTGCTGATAATGTTGCATACAACATTTGAAAGGTCTATCATTTTCATTGAACCCAGTCAAAGTTAACAATTGCCCAACTAATCTTTTTTAACAACGTGATGTGGCACTCCGAAGGGATAACTTGGAATAACATGCTGTAGGTAATTAAATCATCGAAATAAAAACGTGTTTATTTATTAGCCTAGTGTTAATTATTTATGCATATCATGTGAAATCATTGTCAATAGTGCAAGCAATACATTTGCATGTAGGTCTAGATTATTTATGGTTGATCATATAGAAATAGCAAAACATTGCCTTAACAACTCCAAAACAATTGCATGTGGTGCTGCATTTTTCTATTATCAAGACACCTGCTGGTAACTCTTAACTGGTTAGGACAGCTCATGAGGTCTATTAAATATCAGTCGACTAGGTGGGACTCTTATGGCTATAGAGGCTTAATGCATTGCTTTCCCTCTATTCTCTGCACTTAAGACCAAATTTCTACTCTGAGTAGCTTTGTGGATACGGGCCCAGACGTGTATTTGAGTATTTAAAAAAACTTTTTTCAAATACACAGCCCAAACCAAGTATTTTTATTTGAGTATTTTAATGGTTGTTTGTAAAAACCAAATATAATTGTATTATACTTATTTCAAATATTGCAAATACCTGGATTAAAAGTAATTGAAATACGTGAAATAGTATTTGAACCCCAGGTGTGACACAAACACACACACACACACACACACCATTATTATCACCTCTCTCTCATCTCTCAAGCCTTCTCAAGCTCTCTCCTCTTTGCTTTGATTAAATTACTCATCTTATGGATACTTTAAAGATTGAATCCTTAGCTGCTACATCCATTTTTTGACATAAATTAATGATATACACCCATTGATTCTTGAAGAGTATAACTTATAAATGCCTAATGGGCTTAGTTCAACTGTCATACCCATCAGAACCCAAAACATTAGCTTGTTTGACTCCAATGTTTGTAAACAATGTAAATGTAAAAAAACACTGTATAGCCTCAAAACATAGTTAAAACTATACCTTTGATACTAGATCATTGATTGTTAGTCCTTGCATCCATACCTCTGGTTACATTTCTCCAGGCCTGTCCCTCTGTATTTTTGACCAAAAACAGAGGCGGAAACCACTTTGTTATTGTTTCAATTAAGGATTCTAGCTTTAAAGTCTAAAGTCAAGACTCTCCTCCTGAGCTCAGACTCCTGCTCATTCACTGGGACAATGCAGCTGAAATGGCTGTTCAGTCTGCAGTTTCCTCTGCTCATGCAGATATTAGTGTATTGGGGGAAACTGTGAAGTCAACATGGCTCCCTTTAGTGTGTCTGGTAATGTCATTGTAATTACGTGACTCGTCATGGTAACTCGTGGTTTGTGCACGTTGCTGCCACTGCAAGGGTGTTACATATAATCTCTCTCTCTCTCTCTTCACCCCCTTCTCTCCTCCCTCTTTCTCTTCACCCCCCCCCCCCCCCTCTATCCCCCTTCTTTCTGTCTCCCCCCCTCCCTCCAGGTCTCAGAGTGTAACTGGCCCTCCCGCCAGGCTCCCAGCCTGCATAACCTGTTTGCGGTGTGTAAGAACATGCACAACTGGCTCAAACAGAACCCCAAGAATGTGTGTGTCATCACCTGCTCGGTAAGGCCAGACCCAGAGTTGTTATTCAGATTAACTGTCATCTCTACTTCACTCTGTCCTTTTTCCCTCTGTTCCTCCTCTCTTGTTTTACATGCCATTCCTTTCTCTCCTCCTTCCTACCTCCATCTCCTACACCCTCCTCCTCCCCCTGTTCTTGGTGCCTCTATCCCGAGAATTAACACTCATCCTAACTTCCCTCTTGTTTACACACCATTCCTCTCTCTCCCCATCTCCTCCTTCCATTTCCTCCTTCCATTTCTTCCTCCTCCTCCTCCTCCTCCTCCTCCTCCTCCTCCTCCTCCTCTCATTGTTTCCTCCCTCCCGTCCTGGGTTTGTTCTGGGTTTGTCCTGGGTTTGTCCTGGGTTTGTTCTGGGTTTGTGGGACTGCCTGGGGTCCAAGGGTAATACCGCTTTGAGTACTTAGGCTGCTGTTTCTGTGTCAGCTTCAGTTTCCACTGACCTATTTCACTGCCATTGCATACCTTTAGCAAAGACAGATGGTCTCTGTATTCAAGAGATAATAGAACAATTGTAGACTACAGTAGAATATAATATAATTTAAAAAAAAAACCGGATTGTCCATTTGCTGTAGCAAAATAATTATGGGTCGAGAAAAGTATACATATTTAGAGGAGTACTGTACATATTTGACTTAAGTACTACAGTATACTATGACTATGGAATGTCATGTTTTCCATCTTGCGGTATGTGATTTCATTGTGGATGGCAAGTTTATCTGTGTTGAATGTCACTTTTCGTATTTTTTCCTAAAACTTGCATTTTGTGTTGAAGCAAGAATGCTGGATGTATTTATACATCTGGTTATGTTTATTAAACAAAAGGACACAGGAATTATATTTATATACTGTCTGTTTACTAACACTCACAGTGGCAGCAGAGACGTGATAAACTCTGTGTGTGGTGTCCCTGTTTAGTGTTAGTGTGATGAGGCGGTGTTGAAGGAGTCAGGCGCAGGAGGGTAAATCACAGAATAACAGGCTTTAATCTGCACAATAAAGGTTTACGCAGAAATGCGTCACACACACTCCAGGGCACAAAACAGGTGCACTGGAAAATACAAGGCACACGGGAAAATACTCCCGTCGATACACAATACACGAGCTCCACCTTCACTAACCTCCACAATAAACAATCACCCACACAGACAAGGAAGCAGTAGGGAACACATATACAATGACTAATGAGAGATAAGGACCAGGTGTGTGTGATTGAAGACAAGACAAATGGAGTGATGATAAATGGATCGGCAGTAGCTAGTAAGCCGGTGACGCCGAAACCTGCCCGAACAAGGAGGGGAGGCAGCCTCGGCGGAAGTCGTGACAGTTAGTGGAGGAATAAGTAGACGTGGGGCTGAAATCACAGATACTGTAGTCCCAACTCCTTGTTACTCATTGTCATGAGTGATAGCAATTGGCCATGCACAGGAAACATGGAATGGCCCTCCTAGCTTCTAGGAATCATGCATTGAGTTGTGTGAAGTGATGCACTGTAAGCTTGCTGCAACTCTTTTTTCATCATTCGCCCTCTTAAGGATGGCCGTGCTCCCTCGGGTGTGCTGGTCTGTGCCATGTTCTGCTTCTGTCCACCTCTTCACCAACCCAGTACCCGCCATGCAGCTGCTCAGCGCCAAGAGACCCGGCTCAGGCCTCTGGCCCTCGCACCGGAGGTAGGGCAACAGAGAGGGTGTGTGTGTCTGTGTGTGTGTGTGTGTGTGTGTGTGTGTGTGTGTGTGTTTATACTGATTTATTGCCGTTAATTGCAATGGAAAACACAGCAGCAACAATTAGTAAAGTGAAATAAAATGATCCATATACAGGGCCTTCAGAAAGTATTCATACCCCTTGACTTATTCCACATTTTATTGTGTTACAGCCTGAATTCAAAATGGATGAAATATATCTATTTTTCTCACCCATCTACACACAATACCCCATAATGACGAAGTGAAAACATGAAAATGTATTGATGATGAAATACAGAAATATCTCATTTACATAAGTATTTACACCACTGAGTCAATACTTCATAGAAGCACCTTTGGCAGCGATTACAGCTGTGAGTCTCTAAGAGCTTTCCACACCTGCAACATTTGCCCATTATTCTTTTTCAGAATTCTTCAAGAGCTGTCAAATTGGTTGTTGATCATTTTTAGGTCTTGCCATAGATTTTCAAGTAGATTTAAGTCAAAACTGTAACACGGCCATGCAGGAACATTCACTGTCTTCTTGGTAAGCAACTCCAGTGTAGATTTGGCCTTGTGTTTTAGGTTATTGTCCTGCTGAAAGGTGATTTAATCTCCCAGTGTCTGGTGGAAAGCAGACTGAACCAGGTTTTCATCTAGGATTTTGCATGTGCTTAGCTCCATTCCGTTTCTTTTTTATCCTGAAAAACTCCCCAGTTCTTAACGATTACAAGCATACCCATAACATAATGCAGCCACCACTATTCTTGAAAATATGGAGATTGGTTGTGTTGTATTGGAGTTGCCCCAAACATAACCCTTTGTATTCAAGACAAAAAGTTAATTGCTTTGCCACATTTATTTCAGCATTTCTTTAGTGCCTTGTTGCAAACAGGATGCATATTTTGGAATATTTTTATTCTGTACAGGTGTCCTATTTTTCACTCTGTCAATTAGGTTAGTATTGTAGAGTAACTACAATGTTGTTGATCCATCCTCAGTTTTCTCCTATCACAGCCATTACTCTGTAACTGTTTTAAAGTCACCATTGGTCTCATGGTCAAATCCCTGAGCAGTTTCCTTCCTCTCCGGCAACTGAGTTAGGAAGGACACCTGTATCTTTGTAGTGACTGTGTGTATTGATACACCATCAAAAGTGTAATTAATAACTTCATCATGCTGAAAAGGAAATTCAATGTCTGCTTTTTTTTATCCATCTACCAATAGGTGCCCTTCTTTGCGAGGCATTGGAAAACCTCCCTGGTCTTTATGGTTGAATCTGTGTTTGAAATTCACTGCTCAACTGAGGGACCTTACAGATAATTGTATGTGTGGGGTACAGAGATGAGGTAGTAATTCAAAAATCATGTTAAACACTATTGCACACAGAGTGAGTCCAATCAACTTTTTATGTGACTTGTTAAGCACATTTTTACTCATGATCTATTTAGGTTTGCCATAACAAAGGGGTTGAATACTTACTGACTGAAGACATTTCAGCTTTTCATTCTTAATTCATTTGTAAAAAATGTGAAAAACATAATTCCACTTTGACATTATGGGGTATTGTGTGTAGGCCAGTGACAAGAAATCTCAATTTAATCAATTTTCAATTCAGGTTGTAACACAACACAATGTAGAAAAGATCAAGGGGTGTGAATACTTCCTGAAGGCACTGTAAACAGTCTGAGTTTGTTCATGTTTAGATGGATGAACATAAAAACCTCCCTCCTCCTTCCTCCTCCCCATCCATTACTCTCCTAAATCCTTTACGAGCCTATTTATTTTCCGATGGCTGAGTTGCAACAGCATAAAGCAACACACACACCCCTCCTCGGCTACCTAACACCCATACAGCCACACAGATGCTTCTCAATAACAAAGACTCCTTCATCCTTCAGTGCAGAGAGAGAGAGGCCGATGTATGAAGACAGTGGAAACCAAGCATCATCTTTGTTGTTGATTTGACATTGTGTTTTTGAAACTGGGAAGGATTTTTGTGCAAGACTTTTGTGCAAGAACCACATAGGAAAGATGATTTTCAAGTATATAACTTTAAGATGGATAGCTTTGTGATTTTCTAGCACAAAAATATCTTATCCCCTGTATTAATGTACATAGACAATGTTTGTTTTTAGACAGTACTCAGTGCTTAGGGGAGTTTAATGTGTGTAACCATACATACTCTTTCTCTCTCTCTTCTCCAGGTACATAGGCTATGTGTGCAGTATGGTATCAGAGAAGCCCTCCCTGCCCCACTCCAAGCCCCTGGTGGTCAAGGCGGTCACCATGAGTCCAGTACCCTGCTTCAACAAACAACGCATCGGCTGCAGACCATTCTGTGAGGTCCTCATAGGGGAGACTAAGATCTTCTCTACAGCACAGGACTATGAGAGGATGCGGTAGGGACAGATGCAGACACACACGTAGATCTGGATCGTCACCTTTTTCTTAATCCTGGATCCTCGAATGACTTTGTTGGTCCTGGATTATCTAGTGCACTGTGTCGGAGACACACACACACACACCATCTCTGACTACCTCTTTCTTTTTCTCTTTCTCTGTCTCTCTCATCCCCTCTTTCTCAGAGAGCACAGGGTCCAGGAGGGGAAGGTGGTCTTCCCTCTAGGTGTGAATGTCCAGGGTGATGTGGTCATCTCTGTCTATCATATGAGGAACACCATAGGAGGACGACTGCAGGCCAAGGTACAGTATGGGGCTAGCCTAGCATGCTAACACAACACTGACACACTGTTTGCCTGAGGCTGATGGTTCGGGTCCCTGAATCGACTGGGTGGGGGATCTGTCCTTGTGCCCTTTGGCGGGGCGCTTGACTCTGGTTGCTCCTGTGGGTCGCTCTGGATGGGAGTGTCTGCTAGATGACTGAATGCAATGTAATGTTGAGCAGCTTCAATGCAGGTAGATTGTAAGTTTTAAATATATATATATATATATATATATATATATATAAATACACACACACACACACACACATACACTACCATTCAAATGTTTGGGGTCACTTAGAAATGTCCTTGTTTTCGATAGAAAAGCATTTTTTTTGCCCATTAAAATAACATCAAAATGATCAGAAATACAGTGTAGACATTGTTAATGTTGTAAATGGCTATTGTAGCTGGAAACTGCTGATTTTTAATGGAATATCTACATAGGCGTACAGAGGCCCATTATCAGCAACCATCAGTCCTGTGTTCCAATGGCACGTTGTGTTTGCTAATCGAAGTTTATCATTTTAAAAGGCTAATTGATCATTAGAAAACCCTTTTGCAATTATGTTAGCACAGCTGAAAACCGTTGTGCTGATTAAAGAAGCAATAAAACTGGCCTTCTTGAGACTAGTTGAGTATCTGGAGCATCAGCAATTGTGGGTTCAATTACAGGCTCAAAATGGCCAGAAACAAAGAACTTTCTTCTGAAACTCGTCAGTCTATTCTTGTTCTGAGAAATGAAGGCTATTCCATGCGAGAAATTGCCAAGAAACTGAAGATCTCGTACAACGCTGTGTACTACTCCCTTCACAGAACAGCGCAAACTGGCTCTAACCAGAATAGAAAGAGGAGTGGGAGGCCCTGGTGCACAACTGAGCAAGAGGACAAATACATTAGAGTCCTCAACTGGCAGCTTCATTAAATAGTACCCGCAAAACACCAGTCTCAACATCAACAGTGAAGAGGCGACTCTGGGATGCTGACCTTCTAGGCAGAGTTGCAAAGAAAAAGCCATATCTCAGACTGGCCAATAAAAATAAAAGATGGGCAAAAGAACACAGACACTGGACAGAGGAAGATTGGAAAAAAGTGTTATGGACAGACGAATCGAAGTTTGAGGTGTTCGGATCACAAAGAATAACATTTGTGAGACGCAGACCAAATGAAAAGATTCTGGAGGAGTGCTTGATGCCATCTGTCAAGCATGGTGGAGGCAATGTGATGGTCTGGGGTGCTTTGGTGGTGGTTAAGTGGGAGATTTGTACAGGGTAAAAGGGATCTTGGAAGAAGGAAGGCTATCACTCCATTTTGCAAGGCCATGCCATACCCTGTGGACGGCACTTGATTGGAGCCAATTTCCTCCGGACAATGACCCAAAGCACAGCTCCAAACTATGCAATAACTATTTAGGGAAGAAGCAGTCAGCTGGTATTCTGTCTATAATGGAGTGGCCAGCACAGTCAACGGATCTCAACCCTATTGAGACGTTGTGGGAGCAGCTTGACCGTATGGTACGTAAGAAGTGCCCATCAAGCCAATCCAACTTGGGTGAGGTGCTTCAGGAAGCATGGGGTGAAATCTCTTCAGATTACCTCAACAAATTGACAACTAGAATGCCAAAGGTCTGCAAGGCTGTAATTGCTGGAAATTGAGGATTCTTTGACGAAAGCAAAGTTTGGACACAATTATTATTTCAATTAAAAATCATTATTTCGAACCTTGTCAATGACTTCATTTCCTATGCATTTTGCTCTATTTCCTATTCAAACTCATTTCATGTATGTTTTCATGGAAAACAAGGACATTTCTAAGTGACCCCAAACATTTGAACAGTAGTGTGTGTGTGTATATATATATATATATATATATATATACAGTGGGGAAAAAAAGTATTTAGTCAGCCACCAATTGTGCATGTTCTCCCACTTAAAAAGATGAGAGAGGCCTGTAATTTTCATCATAGGTACACGTCAACTATGACAGACAAAATGAGATTTTTTTTCTCCAGAAAATCACATTGTAGGATTTTTAATGAATTTATTTGCAAATTATGGTGGAAAATAAGTATTTGGTCAATAACAAAAGTTTCTCAATACTTTGTTATATACCCTTTGTTGGCAATAACACAGGTCAAACGTTTTCTGTAAGTCTTCACAAGGTTTTCACACACTGTTGCTGGTATTTTGGCCCATTCCTCCATGCAGATCTCCTCTAGAGCAGTGATGTTTTGGGGCTGTCGCTGGGCAACACGGACTTTCAACTCCCTCCAAAGATTTTCTATGGGGTTGAGATCTGGAGACTGGCTAGGCCACTCCAGGACCTTGAAATGCTTCTTACGAAGCCACTCCTTTGTTGCCCGGGCGGTGTGTTTGGGATCATTGTCATGCTGAAAGACCCAGCCATGTTTCATCTTCAATGCCCTTGCTGATGGAAGGAGGTTTTCAATCAAAATCTCACGATACATGGCCCCTTTCATTCTTTCCTTTACACGGATCAGTCGTCCTGGTCCCTTTGCAGAACAACAGCCCCAAAGCATGATGTTTCCACCCCCATGCTTCACAGTAGGTATGGTGTTCTTTGGATGCAACTCAGCATTCTTTGTCCTCCAAACATGACGAGTTTAGTTTTTACCAAAAAGTTACATTTTGGTTTCAACTGACCATATGACATTCTCCCAATCCTCTTCTGGATCATCCAAATCCAAATTTCAGACGGGCCTGGACATGTACTGGCTTAAGCAGGGGGACACATCTGGCACTGCAGGATTTGAGTCCCTGGCGGCGTAGTGTGTTACTGATGGTAGGCTTTGTTACTTTGGTCCCTGCTCTCTGCAGGTCATTCACTAGGTCCCCCCGTGTGGTTCTGGGATTTTTGCTCACCGTTCTTGTGATCATTTTGACCCCACGGGGTGAGATCTTGCATGGAGCCCCAGATCGAGGGAGATTATCAGTGGTCTTGTATGTCTTCCATTTCCTAATAATTGCTCCCACAGTTGATTTCTTCAAACCGAGCTGCTTACCTATTGCAGATTCAGTCTTCCCAGCCTGGTGCAGGTCTACAATTTTGTTTCTGGTGTCCTTTGACAGCTCTTTGGTCTTGGCCATAGTGGAGTTTGGAGTGTGACTGTTTGAGGTTGTGGACAGGTGTCTTTTATACTGATAACAAGTTCAAACAGGTGCCATTAATACAGGTAACAAGTGGAGGACAGAGGAGCCTCTTAAAGAAGAAGTTACAGGTCTGTGAGAGCCAGAAACCTTGCTTGTTTGTAGGTGACCAAATACTTATTTTCCACCATAATTTGCAAATAAATTCATAAAAAATCCTACAATGTGATTTTCTGGATTTTGTTTTCGCAATTTGTCTGTCATAGTTGACGTGTACCTATGATGAAAATTACAGGCCTCTCTGATCTTTTTAAGTGGGAGAACTTGCACAATTGGTGGCTGACTAAATACTTTTTTTCCCCACTGTATATATATATATATATATATATATATATATATATATATATATTATATATATATATATATATATATGAAAACACTGACACACTGACACTCACATATTATGATATGCTATACTATGGGAGATTCTGTTAGCTCTGATTCTATTGGACCATATCCTGATACATTGGCATTTACAGACAGAGATTACGCTCTGGGAGATACTGTCAAACTCTGACACATTGACATACAATGATGGACTACCATCTAATCTGACAGATTGTGTGCCCTGAATGAACATAAACAAAGCACTAATGCATTCAGACTAAATTAGAATCAGTCCCTGATGATCATAAGTCTCAACAGTATCATTGTTTGAAAAAGTTCCACTACCTGAATCTAACTATGTGATTGCTGGTTGGTATTTGCAGGTGTCCAACACCCAGATATTACAGATCCAGTTCCACACAGGCTTCATCGCTCCAGGGACCACCGTGTTAAAGTTTACAAAGTGAGCACCTCTCTCCTATGTCATCTGTACATGTGAAGTATTAACATGTAAAATACTTTATATTGTTTAAATGTCGGTGTATGTCATGATATGGACATGGTTCTTACTTGAAATAGTGAATGAAGAACTAACTAACTCTCTATCTGACACACACCACACACACCCCTGTCTAGGCCGGAGCTGGATGCGTGTGACTCTCCAGAGAAGTACCCCCAACTGTTCCATGTGTTGGTGGACATTGAGGTGGAGAGTACAGACAAGCAGAAGGACCTGACCCCTCCCTGGGAACAGTTCCCTAATAAAGACCTGATCCCCAACGTACTGTTCTCATGTCACCAAGAGCACCAGGACGCCCTTGCCATCGCAGGTAGGGCAGAGGGGTGGACAACACACAGACACACAGGACAGATGGACACGCACACATAGTAACAGTCACAGATACACTGTGTGAGTCCAGATGGACACACACACACACACACAGGCAAAGATGTTCACACGGATACACACACCAGGGTTTTCCTTAGCCTGCAATTGCCGGCTTTTGGCCGATCAAAAAAATGAAAAAGACGATGAATAAAACTATTGCCGACCAAAATGACCGGGTGAAGAAATTCTATTGCAAAAAAGGTGTTTTATTCATTAATGGAAATACCAGTGGATGTAAATACATTTCACCGTCATGCTTATCGGTTTGTAGGTTAATTTGCATATTTTGATGGAATTAAATTGGCCTACGTGTATTTTCGTTAGTCATCATGTAGCCTATCTTATTTATCCAACACAAGTATCACACACGCACAGCATACAGAGCCTATTTTTAGTGGCTTTTCTCCTGCTGCTCCACAGCTGGTTACTGCTGGAGTAAAACGTGCTTTGATAAGCCATTTATTGCGCAACAATTCTAAATGCATTTGTGTGTTAAAAACAGTTTTGGTGCACGATTAAAAATAGCTACTATTTTTATTTCTCAACTGGAAATTGAAGCACGCCTCCTATTCACCATTCATGTGCAGGCAACAGGCTATCAGCGTGTCACCCACCACTTTACAATGTGAGTTGGAGGCAGTATGCATTTTGAAAACATACTTATTATGAGGCGTGTCTTATCTTGCTTCAAAGTAGCCTATAGGCAAATCCGACCATAGAAAGGTGGAGGCAAAGGCTACGCTTGAGTTTCAAGTTTGGGGAAGCATACAAATGATCCTACCATTTCTACCGATCTGCGTGTCAGTTATGATTTTCATATGCACATTTTTGTGGAACAGTTTCATTTCAATAAGAATGTTTTCGTTTCTCAAAATCATTGTCATGTGGTTAATCATAAAAATCTGAATTAAAATGATCTAAAAGTTAAAAGGCAACTAATGCGAGAGCGCCAGCCTCTGCCATATGGACACATTGATACACTGTGATCCATTGGCGGATAAAGAAATTGAGTGCATGGAACTCATAGCCTTTCATTACTCTTTCACACCGAGGATTAGTGATTATTGAGTGTGAGATTGTTGGAAGGATTTTTCAAATAGCTTACTGTGAGTAACTATAGTTGTAATATATTATCATTCGTAATGGATGTTAAAAAAACACTTTCCTACATTTCCGCGCAGCAGGCCAGGTACTTCTATACAGTACCAGTCAAAAGTTTGGACACACCTACTCATTCAAGGGTTTTTTCTTTATTTTTACTATTTTCTACATTGTAGAATAATAATGAAGACATCAAAACTATGAAATAACACCTATGGAATCATGTAGTATCCAAAAAAGTGTTAAACAAATCAAAATATATTTTATATCTGAGATTCTTCAAATAGCCACCCTTTGCCTTGATGACAGCTTTGCACACTCTTGGCATTCTCTCAACCAGCTTCATGAGGTAGTCACCTGGAATGCAATTAAATTAACAGGTGTGCCTTCTTAAAAGTTAATTTGTGGAATTTCTTTCCTTCTTAATGTGTTTGAGCCAATCAGTGGTGTTGTGACAAGGTAGGGGTGGTATACAGAAGATAGCCCTATTTGGTAAAAGACCAAGTCCATATTATGGCAAGAACAGCTCAAATAAGCAAAGAGAAACGACAGTCCATCATTACTTTCAACATTTAAAATTCTACTCAAAACACATTAACATATTTTAGATGCTTTTCACTGATAGCCGCAACTCAATAATCAGCTAGGTGTATTGCCAAGCATGCTGCTCAAATTGCGGGCTTCCCAAATTGCGGGTTTCCCAAATAGACATAGGCCTATGAGCTTGTGATTTGATACAATTTTTTTTTATAAGAAGCTAATGATCCTCGATTAGTCTGTGGCCAAGTCATGATTTCTGGTGAAGTATTTTGAATGATTTTATTTATTTCTGTATAGACAGTAATTATATAATTTTGGAAAATGTATATCCATTTACTTCGCTATTGGACCCACCTCTATGCAATTTCTCTCCTGTTCTATTGGTTTTCATATCAACTTTCTTTCGTTGTCCAGAAGCCAAAGGCACAATCCTAGTCATATTAGTAACCAATCCTAGTTGTTGCATCTTTAGATTCCCCCTTTTTCTAAGTTTCTAACAGAGATGTTCATCTCTGTCACATATGGAACCGCTATCAGGTATGCTGTTTAGAACAGTGTTTTCCCAGGTGCACTGTTTAGAATGGTGTTTTCCCGCAAATTGCATTTTGGCGAATGTTTAAAAATGATGTTTTATTGGCTGCTTCATTACATGAGTTGCATGTTCTGTTAAGATGCATTACCATAATGTAAATGTGGTTTCTGTCATTCTGAGCACTGTGGGTGGATGTTCTAATGGGTTATGCACCCAATGCATATGGGTCCGGTAAACTTCTCAAATGGGCGGTAAATTTAAATCTTCCCGGTCATATTTTCCTAACGGAAACCCTGACACGCACGCATACACACATGCTCGCATACAAACGGACACAGATGGGCACGCACGTGAGCACACAGGCATTGATACATGCACTGACACAGAGGTACACACAGAGGCCTATAGATACTGTATGCTCCAAGACACACACATGCCCAGATGCAACTAGGTACACATGCAAATATAAACTATGCACACTGACACAGATAGCTAAACATAGACAGACACTCATATGGCCACCGCTAACAGAGCTGCGGTTGACATTCTTTCTTAACCTAACGTTGGTTTCATTCTCTCCTCCAAGATGAGATGGAGGGACTGGACTTGGAGGGTAAGGTCTAGAGTAGAGGAGACCACAGACCAAAACACTTAAAGGTGCTATCTAGAACCTAAAAGGGTTCTTCAGCTGTCCCCATAGGAGAACCCTTTGAAGAACCCTTTTTGGTTCCAGGTAGAACCCTTTTGAGTTCAATGTAGAATCCTTTCCTGAGAGGAAAGAGATACTAGCTACTGCAGAGATACTAGCTATTATAGTTAAAGAAAATCAGCTCCTTGTTAGAGGCAGTTTCCCCTGGGTGATGTTAGATTAGCTTTGTCACTCTGCTGTGGTGGCTAGCAATATGGATACCTATAGCAAAGTTATATTTCCTGTTCTCCTGTAGAATACTTTGTGGGAAGGAAACCCATTTACTAAAGGAAGACCACGTTTTCCTGATGTGACCTACCTCTTATCTCTCTCTCTCCTCTCCCCCTCCCCCTCCCCGCTCTCTGACCTCTGACCCCTGTAGAGCCGAGCCGGTCCCACAGTGGTTCAGATGGTCGCCCTCACGGGGAGGACAGTGAGCCGTCTGATGATGAGATGCTGTCCCTGTCTAGCCAGCAGAGCAACGCTAGCGGAGAGAGACCCGGAGGGGCCCAGTCTGGCCCCAGGGGCCCCAAGAGACCTGAGCAGCCTCAGGCCCCTGCCACTGCTCCTCCTCCCCCAGAAGAGGTGGACCTCCTGGGCCTGGATGGGGCTGCTGTGAACCCCCCCTGCCCCTCGCCCCAGCCCCCCACCACCAACACTACCACGGACCTCCTGGGGGATCTGTTTGGAGCCTCTCCCCAGCCCCTGCCTGGGAGTGGGCCCGCCTCAGCCCAGTCTACCCCCCAGAAAATACCCCCTCCCTCCACCTCCCCCTGCCCCTCTCCAGGTACGTAGTCAATGGATATTATAACATATCCATAGTTGCTGATCAACTAAATTCAAATCAAATTGTATTTGTCACATGCGCCGAATACAACAGGTGTAGACCTTACCGTGAAATGCTTACTTACTAGCCCTTAATCAACAATGCAGAATAAATAAATAAATAATTAAGAAAATATTTGGGGTAAAGTCACTATGCATAGGTCATAAACAGTGTGTAGCAGCAGCGTAAAAAAGGGGGTCAATGCAAATAGTCCGTGTAGCCATTTGATGAACTGTTTAGCAGTCTTATGGCTTGGAGGTAGAAGCCATTAAGGAGCCTTTTGGACCTAGACTTGGTGCTCCGGTACCGCTTGCCGTGTGGTAGCAGAGAGAACGGTCTATGACTAGGGTGGCTGGAGTCTTTGACAATTTTTAGGGTCTTCCTCTGACACCGCCTGGTATAGAGGTCCTGGATGGCAGAAAGCTTGGCCCCAGTGATGTACTGGGCGGTACGCACTACCCTCTGTAGGGCCTTGTGGTCGGATACCAAACAGTTGCCATACCAAGCAGTGATGCAACCAGTCAGGATGCTCTCCTGTTTGGACCATGATAGTTTGTTAGTGATGTGGACAAAATAACTTGAAACTCTCGACCCCCTGCACTACAGCCCCGTCAATGTGAATGGGGGCGTGCTCTGTCCTCCTTTTCCTGTAGTCCACGATCAGCTCTTTTATCTTGCTCACGTTGAGGGACAGGTTGTTGTCCTGGCACCACAGTGCCAGGTCTCTGACCTCCTCCCTATAGGCTGTCTCATCGTTGTCGGTGATGAGGCCTACCACCGTTGTGTCGTCAGCAAACTTAATGATGGTGTTGGAGTCGTGCTTGGCCACGCAGTGAATTCAGGTTTATTTGTCTGTTGTTTACTTTCTTTTACCACAGATGTGTACATAGTATGTTTATCTATCTGTATTTTATGCCTGCCTGGAAATAATTGCCAGTCCGAGATTAATAAAATGTATTGAATTGAATTGAATAGTAAAGTAATGGTTTATGCTTTTCTCTCTGCCCACCCAGCATTCGACCCATTTGGGGCGGGTCCGATGCCCAAGCCCCAGGAGCTGATGGGTTCCTTCCGGGGTCCAGCAGGTAACCATGGTAACCTGGGGCTGCCTGCCCCCCTCCTGCATGCAGCTCGCTCTCCATCCTCCACTATGCAGAACACTGGCATGGGTGATGGCATGACTACACTGCATCTGTAGAGGCACTATCTATCCACTAACATTTCACTCTATCCACTATCCACTATACAACTGCTCTCTTTACACGGATACTCTGCTGCTTCAGCCAATCTGTTGTGTTGGGTAATGTACTGTATATGCATGCACATAATGTGTGATGATCAATGGGAATTTAAGCTGCAGGTTTTGAGGGAGATCTGATTGGAATGGCTATTGATATGGTTCCAATCTTAGTTGGGTAGCCTAACGGTAATGGTAATAATGTGGTCATGATTTGTGGTATGGTTATATGTCTGTGTGTGATGGTAGCATGACCTCATATCTCCTTCCTCCCATTGTCTGTTAGGCCTGTCTGTCACTGATGTTTCTGTGCTCTGATAGGCCGCAGCTCCCCAGTCCCGCCCACCACCCCTGTGGTCACCATTCAGCAGCCTCCCAACGCCATGGGAGGATGGGACTGGAACAAATCTGCAGCTCCAGGTAAGCTCTACTGATGTGTAACATTTATGGACAACATCTGCAGAGGCACTGGTCTGAGAACATAGGAACTACCAGCTGCCATGAAAAAAAGAGAGCTATGGCATGCTATCTATAGCAAGCGAGCATGTGTTAACGTCAGAATGGTCTCTACTTAATAGTGCCCTCTACTGGTATATTCATAGAACTGCAGTGCCTACTCTATTGTACAGTATTTTAACTGTGTTGTTGTGTATTCTGTGTTAGGAGGGGGTTTCGGTATGGGCAGTAAGTCAGCCAGTACCAGTCCTACCGGGTCAGTCCACAGCACACCCACACACCAGGCCAAACCCAAGACCCTGGACCCCTTCGCTGATATCGGAAACCTGGGGGGCAGTCTGGGAGGTCAGTGAAGGCTTTCAATACTGTACTAACAGATGCTTTAAAATATGTCATGGTATGTCACGTTATGTTATGGTAGTTGTGTTATTACAGGTATGTTATAGATAGATAACTTAATTCTCTGTGTTGAACTCTCTGTAAACATTCCTCTCTATAGGAGGCTCTGGCATCTCCAGTAAGCCCACCACCCCTACAGGCACCACCCCTGCCTTCCCCCCCATGGGCTCCCCCTCACGGCCTCCTCCCTCACCCCAGCACGGTGGGGCCTGGCAGGCTAACACAGGCTTCCCCTCCTGGCAGCCTGGTGGTGGAGGGCAGGCAGGGTGGCAGCCCCAACCCCAAGGGTCAGGGTGGCCCACCGTCCCAGCCCAAACCCAGCCCCAGCCACTCCATGCCCCACACCTCCCCCTCCAACCGACCCAACTACAACATCAGTTTCTCTGCCATGGGAGGAGGGACTGCTCCCAATGCAGCCGGGAAACCACAGCCCAACATGGGTGAGTCAGTGGGAGGCTGGTTGTTATCATACTGGGATGGATAGACTGTTGGGTTGTTTTTCCCCCAAAATAACTTGTTGCTCTTTATTAATATACAAATGTGCCACCTGAAATTGACCTGTATGCATGTGTTTTGTGCTGGTAGTCATTCATGATAAGACTGCACATATAGTGTTTTATAAGCGGATGAGAGAAGATGATACATTCTCTCTCCCAGGTACCAAGCCCAAAGTTGCAACGGCTAACTTTGATGACCTGCTGTCTGGCCAAGGCTTTGCTGGAGCCAAAAAGAAGGAAGGTCCCAGGACAATAGCAGAGATGAGGAAGGAGGAGATGGCTAAAGAGATGGACCCCGAGAAACTCAAGGTAGTTTTACAGCGGCCAATCACTAGCCTTGGACCAAGAGTTGGAGAGATTAGTGAAGATACAGTAGTACTACAGGGGGGAAGGGAGTCAAATGTTGGTCCTCTGTAGCTCAGTTGGTAGAGCATGGCGCTTACAATGCAAGGATAGTGGGGTCCATTCCCAGGACCACCCATATGTAAAATGTATGCACACATGACTGTAAGTTTCTTTGGATAAAAATGTCTGCTAAATGGCTAATATTATTGGGGTCTCTTTTGACAGCCAGAGAAAAACAAGCTAGGTATTTCAAGATTTTGAAGAAGGCTTGTGAGATCTTTGTTGTATAGGTGAGTCTCATGTTTATCTGACCCCGGCTCTCCCCTCTCTACCCCCAGATTCTGGACTGGATCGAGGGGAAGGAGCGTAACATCCGGGCCCTGCTGTCCACCATGCACACAGTACTCTGGGAGGGGGAGACCCGCTGGAAGCCTGTAGGCATGGCTGACCTGGTGACCCCAGAGCAGGTCAAGAAGGTTTACCGCAAAGCAGTGCTGGTGGTCCATCCAGACAAGGTGAGATGGAAGAGGTTTACATTACACACAGTGTAACACACATGTACACAAGCAAGCAAGCACACATGCATGCACGTTCACACGCACACACATCAGGCTTCCGTTAGGAAAATGTGGCTCTGGACATTTGACCGACAGCATTTTAATTTACCAGACATTTGAGAAATGTACCAGACCCATATGCATTGGGTGCGTAACCTGATTAGGGTGTCCACCCACGGTGCTCAGAATGACAGAAATCACATTTAGATTATGGTAATTCATCTTAACAGAACATGCAACTCGAGGAGACGTGGGTCCTTCTTACTGAATTCCGATACGCACTTTGAAGATGCTAGAATAACTGTCCACATTTAATTTTTCTCAGCCAACAAGACGAGTAACTGCTATCCCCCATAGTAGAAAAGTTGACCTATTCTATTGGTCAGCTTGTCGAGAAAAGCAATGAGACTGATGCAACAGATCAGAACGTTTAGCTTAAAATGTTGCTAAACTATTATTTCTTCACATTATAAGCGCAGCAATGCGCACAAGGCAGTAGGCTACGTGCGAATGTTTGTTCCATAATGCAATTAGCGGAAAACACAGTTGTCAAAAGAGCACCAACATATACCTAATTGCATTCTATCTATTGATTTAGTAAGCAGTAGACATTTAGTAAGCAGTAGGCATTTAGAATTAAATGTGGAGTGGAGCTTTATACTATAGTTACGTGATGACATCACGTGCCCCGTGTACCTTCCAATTTATTCGGCAATCATAATGTATTCGAAAAATACTCAGTCAACATTTCCGTCATCATTTGTCGCAATAAAGAAAGGTTGACAAAAGAAAAATCCACCCGTCTAACGGATACAAGCATTTCTGCTATAGCCGCCGTTTCCATTACACGTCTCAATATTTATTTTGCGACGTTGCTTTTGCCGAATAAACCTGGGTCAATGGAAACCTGCCTACTGATAGAAGTTTTTCTCCTCCCTTCTCCCAGGCCACAGGACAGCCCTATGAACAATACGCCAAGATGATTTTTATGGAACTGAATGACGCCTGGTCAGAATTTGACAGCCAAGGACAAAAAGCACTCTACTGAGCTGATAGAAAAAGAGAGCGAAAGCGAGACAGAGTTCCTGCCCACCCACCCCTGACCCCTCCGTGAACAATAATCAAGCTCCCACCAGATCTGTGACTCCCGTCTTCTCCTCTCTTTACTGTCCTGTGGACTCCATAGAGACTTCAATAGCCAGACTAACAGTGTAACCGTGTCAGAAAAAGATCTGCCTACCTGCCTATGTATCTGGTGGCAGCACTGTCCAACAAGAACTGTTCAATGCTGTCCTATGTGTCCTAGTCCTGAACCAAGCAAAGAGTCCTGAACCAAGCAAAGAGTCCTGAACCAAGCAACGAGTCCTGAACCAAGCAACGCAGAGTCCTCCAGCTCTATGGAGACATCACCAGATAGTGATACTGTCCACCTAATACACCGGACACAGGTGGAAATGACATACCTGTAGTCACAGTGTGGTTAGCCAGGTGCTATGGAACAGCCAGGATATGACTGTATGAACTATGCTCGCCAAGGAAGATGACAATGTTTGTTTACTGTCAAATAACAACAAAAGAGACTCAGTGTTTAAAAAAGCACAACTGGTTGGTTCTTGTGTTTACTTATCCTCAGTCTTAGAAAGGTGCGGTACGTCTTAAGGTTAGTCTGGTGACTCATCTGCAGCCTATCGTCACTCTAAAGGTACTCATTCTCATCTTTCCATTCACTGTCTGGTGTCTACAGTCTCATAGGAAGCAGAATGTAAAAGATATCAGAAAATGATCCCATATCACACTACTGTTATGATCTAAGAACTAAACTGCTGCTAATGTTTTATCAGGCTTATCAACACCATTGGTAGTGTATTTACTTTGAATGATGTTAATTTATTTACCTTTACTATCAGATGTTTGTGTCATACTGTGATGCTTATTTTTCTTTTGGTCCCTCCCAAAGAAGAATTTGTATTTTATTTTGGAGAATGTTTAGTAAAATACAGTAGGGTTTTGTACTATCCCTCTGAAGCATTTGCTATTGAATCATGAGTGAAATGATGTTTTAATCAAAGGGCACGTCGTTGATGTCGTTTCCAGATGGGTGTTTCGAAATATGGTATCTGATGTAGGACAAATAACCCATCAAGCAATTTTATGTTCATGTGCATCTGCTTTAGTACGAGGGCTTTTTGTTTCCGTTTGTTTGAAGCATATCTTTTCTGCATGCACTGCCTGGAACTACTAATGGAAGGACTTGGACTTTATCTTACTGCATATGGTGGCACATCATTTCATAATACATGCTCATGATACTGGAGTTTGTTAGACTACTATCCAGACCCTAACATGGAGCCATCCATCCCTCCCTGTATCAGCACTCTGAAAGGATTTCATGAAAACATACAATACCTGACATGAACAACTGTGTCTTAACATACTAAAAACGGCATATCAATGTCTCAGCTAGGGTTGTTCTCTCTATCTGTGTGGACCATTTAGCTAAACGAGAACAAGAGAGACACTGCACATCTATTTCATCTGACACAACCACTCCCTTATTTTGTCTCTGCTTGCATACTGACATTGTCAACCCTTTCCTGGATTCCATCCTTCGTGAAATGGCCTCACCTGAGTTGTGGACTAACGTGAGCACTGACTGACCACTGACCAGGGCAGAACTGTCCGCTGTAGGCTCTGATGCTTTCTCTGGTGACTATACCAATGGCAGGAGCTGTGGTTGTGTAGTATGTATGTACTTTATGTACTGTATGTACACTGAGGTTGTGCGTGTGTGTGTGATAACCCCTATACGCTCCCTCGCTGACTGAAATCTCTGTCTATCTGCAATCTTAAGGCAATGTTAAAACGCTAACCTCTATATATATATAGTGGACGTGTGTTGTTGAAACCGTTGTACGTGCATAAGGATGTGATACGATTTGGATACAACTACTGTATGTGTTTGCTTGTCTGCTGTAAAAGTATTACTACTAAAATTGTTTCTGTGTTTCTCTTTGTGGGTTCTGTTTACCCTCACAGGATGTACATAATGATAAAGTGATAAAGTGCAATGCACAAATAAATAGAGAAGTAGAAATTGGCTTGAGAAACAAAAAACGAATAAAATGTGTCTGTTTTCATTCTTGATCATCTAAATGATTTTCCTACAAGTTAATCTGCAGCTAGTGTTCACAGCCCATTCAAGGACTTTTCTGAGACTCAATCTTCGTCAGGATTGTTATTATGCATAAATTATACATATATTTATATATCTGTATTAATTATATTTGTGAAAATGTACTTTCAGATTACAGTAGATTATTACAGTAGATTACAGTAATCACATCTGGAATCACATTTTTTGTCATTCATGTTGACCACTAGAGGACAGTGGTAGGCCAATTTAGAGTATCCTCCCTCTGCTTGTCCTGCCTTATGACTTGATCAATGGTGTGAATACATGTTTATGTGGATGATGCTGGAAATGTATGGTAATGAGCTGCTATGGGCTCAGGCACATTGCGTTTTATGTTCCTACCGCCTACCATGTCTCTCTTTAATTTGTGACTACTGATCTGATCTGAGATTAATGGATAGGTGAGGTTTCTGTCCTGTGCTATCATCCAAATCCAGACCCCTCCACATCACTGTCCCTAAGGGAAAAGCGTAACATTTTACATTGTTGCCCCTATTACTATGTAACTACACAGTAATAACAGTAGTAACAACATAGTAGTTACATAGGTATTATTACGCAATGACATGGTAATAGGGGTTTAGCGCTATCAGTTATTACACCGTTGGAAAAAGGAATGTGTACATCATCACATCAACACATCCACTTGATGAAGGTTACTCCACATGTGCAATTACGGATGTTATTACACATTTTCTTGTTCCAGTAGGTAACTCATGTTTTGTAATTACAAGTTTTAAAGTCACTTGTGAATTACCATGTTAATAACTCAAACCAAAATGTGACATTATTACAGTATATGTAACTATCGGGTGCCACTACCATCAAATCTACATGTAATACCAGGGTTGAGAAATAGGCTAGGACCTGGTAACAACAACTATAACAAGGCACACCCTGTCATTAACTACCGGTCATTTTCAATTTGTTTATTTCTATATTATGACCTGGCTCAAAGGCTACACCGAATCAAGTGTAACATATGAACATTGTATTTACATAGGATGTACTTGCAATTATCTTGTACCTACCCAGGAGAGAGCAACTTAATGTAAAGTGAAACCCAGTAGGGTATAACCTTTATAATTACTATGTAGTTACAATGTAGCAACCTTTGCAGACAATAGGCTAACCAGAATAAATGTATTTACAATGTACTTACCCAGATGCAAGCAACTTAATGTAAAGTGACGTGACAGTTTTAATTACTTTGTAGTTACAATGTAACAACCGTTGCAGGCTAACCAGGAGAAATAAGGAGACAGGAGACATTTTTTCTGTTAGACTTTTCTTTAATTGATTTGACAAAGATTAATATTCAAAGCATTCAGATTCAATTCCTCATTTCAGACTCAAAGCAATAACTATTAGTAAAACATACTAACTAGTAGGCATAGCCTCGGGAAGCAGGGGTGCTGAGGGTGCAGTCAACGGCCTTTCTTTAAGTTACTAAAGTGGCCGTGAACGGCCTTGTTTTTCTAACAATAATATCAGTGTAAATATCGCACAATTAACTTGCTAACAACCTGTTGTTGTATTTGCATGGCTGTTGTCATCAACCAGAAACCGGAAACAGGGTATGCTGTGGTTTGACTTTTAAAAGAAAAAAAACACTAAATTACTCAAAATGATGGCGCCAAAGCGGCCACCACTTTTCACTTTGGAAGAGGCTGTGTATCAATGCTGGTTGGTGATACGGATTCAGACACGTCCTTGCACTTTGAAAGCGATGATGTCGAGGTGAGTGAAATAAATAAACAGCAGATATACTGTATGTTTGGTGATGTTGATGTTTGATGCTGTGAAACTTGGGGAATAGCTCTCAGATTAGCAAATCCTGTCATGATCACTTGGTTGGTACATTACAGGCCAGCAAATCAGCGGTGGAGCAGGAGCTCGAACGATTGCTCTCTGTCTCATGGAACTAGTTGCAGTGTTTAGCTGTATATAGTCAGCTAACTAGTTGGTTGTTTTGTCTTCTTTCTACCGATTTAATTCATATGGAAATGGCCCAAGCTATTTGCTATAGCTAGCTACCTAGTCTGTCAGGCAAGAAAAGTTGTGTTTGGCGGTAAATTTGGGCTGCGCTTGCGAAGTGTCAACCTCAGCTGACTGTCACTTTACTAGCTACTGTAGCTAACGTTATACAGACAACCAGCTAACTAGCCACCGAAATGAAGGGTAGAGTAATTATTGTTTATCTGTTGGGCTTAGGTTATGGTTTGTCCTGTTTGCTAGGTACAGATATTCATAGGCCATACATTGCCTCGTTTTCCTATTATTTGACAGTTTAGCTGTCGTGTTAAGGTAGATGCCCGCGCAGTGGAGCTCATATGATATTTGAGTTACAGTGATATTTGTTTAGATAGCCAGCTAACAAATTGTTTTGTCCTGTTTCTAACGATGCAATTAATTTGGAAACTGTCCCAGCTTCGTAACTAATCAACTAACATTGGCGAACTCTGTAGTTGGTCTGTCAGGCAAGAAAAGTTGGAGGCAACATTGTGCTTCGCTCGCAATGCTGTCATTTGATCATCTCACTCCCTCCCTACAAAGACAATCAGCTAACTACAGTGCATTTGGAAAGTATTCAGACTCCTTGACTTTCTCCACATTTTGTTATGTTAGCCATATTCTAAAATTGATTACATTGTTTTTTTCCTCATCAATCTACACACAATACCACATAATGACAAAGCAAACACAGGTTTTTAGAAGTTTTTGCAAATGTGAAAAACTGAAATATCACATTTACATAAGTATTCAGACCCTTTACTCAGTACTTTGTTGAAGCACCTTTGGCAGCGATTACAGCCTCGAGTCTTTATGTGTATGACTCTACAAGCGTGACACACATGTATTTGGGGAGTTTCTCCCATTCTTCTCTGCAGATCCTCTCAAGCAGAGATG